TTCAGAACATATTTATTAGTGGACCCCAATGAGCGAGAAGAACGAGTCATGGATGGCTTGCTGGTGATTGCCATGAATAAGCATCGAGAAATCTGTACTATTCAGTCTAGTGGCGGGATAATGCTGCTCACAGACCAGGTCAGTGCTTTGACAGTGTCCCTGGTAGAGGGCTCTTTTTAGAAGCTTTGTTGTTACTTCATTTGTTTCCAAGACAGGGAAGACAGGGTTTCTCTGTATAACAGCCTTAGCTCTCCTGGAACTAACTCTTAAGACCAGACTGGCCGCGAACTCACAGAGCTCTGCCTCCTGAATGCTGCAATTAAAGGTGTGTGGCCACAGGGTACCTCAGATGAGTAAGTCTAGTTATGTTAGAATCTGGCTTCAGGTCAGGCATTATGTTCTAACAAGTGGCCATGAATTATGCTTTCTTTCCTTGCCCCCTATCGAACTGGAGGAATACCTTAGTTCCTTCAGTGAAGAAAGACAAATATTGCTACTTTTTAAAGTATTAAATGTTTACATTAAGAGAAAACTAAGTTTTAGTTTTAGAATTCGATACAAGCAGCAGTGATACTCAAACCCGGCCACATATCAGATTCACACAGAGGCTGTAGATAATATTGTGCCAAGTAGCAGTGTAAGGGAGCTGTTTTCATTCAAATTGTAACTGATCTTTATAGCCTTTGGTCTCCGTGTTTTCCCCTGCTTATGCGGTAGACGGGATTGAAGGGTAAATGTGTAGGCGGATGATGGGCATCTGAGATACGGAGTGCTCAGTGATGCTCCTTTGTGTTATTTTCGCCAGCACCATTGGTGCTAGGATTGCAGCCACTGTTGCTTTTTGTGTGGCTGACGGACATAGAAAGGAAGTCTGTATTCCTGAGCCTTTGATTGGTGATCTCTGTGGTATCTTCTCAAGTCTGTTCCCTTAATGTGTTAGACCTTCAAAAGTTAAGGGATTTTCATATTTTTGTCTTAACTGTGTTTATTGTGCCATAATCTCACACTTGGAAAAGAAATTCTTAAATTATAAAGGTAGAGAATTCATGCCATGGTTTTGGTTTCATTAGAAAAAGCCGTTTAGTTTGTTTTCTTTGACTAACACCCCAAATTTACAAATAGGTTTTGAGATGCAGTAAAATAGCTGGGGTGAAAGTAGCAGAAATTACAGAGCTGATACAGAAAGCTTTGGAAAACGACCGGAAAGTTAGGTAAGTTTAATTCTCACAACTATGTGCTTTAAATCCCTGTTTCTAAGGGCTTTTATCACAAGGGCAGTCTTATAATTTCATATGTGGTCTTTTCCCAGTTATTCTCAGTTGTTCATACTAGTACTTAGTTGAGATTTTATTCTAAAAAGTTACAGAAGTGTTTTCTTTAAGTGAACATGCTCTTATAAAAAAAGAGTCTAATAACTCAAATGAATAGAACAAACAGGCTGGTTTATAGCTCTGCTTGTTACATTAAGTAACAAGTACCCAGCACTTCAGAGTACTGTCTTATCCTGTGGAGGCTTAGAGAATACACTCCAGGTACCTAGCAGACAGGCAGCAGAGGTTCACATCTGTCTTGATAACTATGGGAGTGCTCTAGTTTGTTTCCCATTGCTGATGTAAACCACTGACCAAGAGCATTTTAGGAGAGGAAAGGATTTATTTGGCTTATACTTCCAGATCAGTTCACCAATGAGGAGCCTGGAGGCAGGCCTCCTGCTAGTTCATATAGCATTTCCTCTGGTGAGGGAACTCATCAGAGCTGAGGGGTACAGAGAGACCAGAGGTGTGCTGATTGCTGGCTCACAGGTGCATGCTTAGCTACATGTCTTACACAGCACAGGATCACCTGCCCCAGGAACGGTGCCCCTCATAGTGGGCTGAGCCCTCTTTTATCAATTAACAATCAAGATACTCCTCCACAGATATGGCAGTCTGGTTTGGTGAGGGCCTCCCTTCTTCAGTGACTCTAGGCTCTGTCAAGTTTACAGTTGAAGCTAAGGAGGACAAGTGGTGAAGTTAAGCAGCTCTATTTCTCATCTCCCAAAGCCTAAGTAAGTTTTTTCTTATTGTCATCTCCAAAACCACTACCCAAACCCTTACAGGAAAGAAGGGGGGAAGTTTGGCTTTGCAGAGTCTATAGCCAATCAAAGGATCACAGCATTTAAAATGGAGAAGGCCTCTGTTGATACCTCCAACATAGAGGAGAAAGCAGAAGAAATTATTGCTGAAGCTGAACCTCCTCCAGAAGTGTATCTTTATTACGTGGTTTATACAGTAACGATGCTTAACCTTTTTTTGTCGTTGGTTTTTTGTTTTTATCAAGGCTATGTGCATATTGAAATTTGGTTGGGGGAAATCATACTTAAGAGATAAATATGCCATATTAAGTTGATAATATGACATCTAGCTTTTCTCAGTTATGTCTAAAAAACAGTTTTCTATTTTAAAAACCAACTTGGAGCTGGGGGATGTAGCTCACTGGTACTGCAGTTTTCTAGCTATGTATAAGGTGTTGGGTTCTATTCCAGTACTGTAAGAAAATACAAATGAAATTACAGCATTCATTTCCCTTTGAGAAACAACTTCAGTACTGATAAGACCAAGTTCATTACATAATCTTGAAAAAAATTTATTGCCAATTACTCTCAAGTTGATTATTGGTGATGGAACACATGAAGCAGTCTTACAAGAAAATAGCAATGTTTTGGATATTCAGTTTTCTTAACTTGTTAAGTGTTTCCAAACCTGTACTGTGGACTCCTGGTACTGCTCAGATAGGAGATGGAATAGAAAACTCTTGGGGTGACCTTGAAGATTCTGAGAAGGAAGAGGAGGAGGAGGAGGAGGGTGGCACTGATGAAGCTGTCATTCTTGATGATACAAAGATGGACACTGGAGGAATTTCTGATATTGGAAGCCAAGGTAGGTGATTCTTTTGGCTTTTACTATGTATTAGAGCTAGCTACAAATATAAATCTACATATGTAAACTCATACATATGTAAAGAGGTATCTGTGTAGAGATTGTAGGTCATACATAGAGCTAGTCCCTGTCTTGGAAAGTGAAATACTTTGGGATTTAGTGGTATGCTTTGGCATGTAAATGATACTCTTAAACAATTAAAAAAAATTACATCTGGCCAGGTGTGATAGTATACATCTCTCAGCACTGGGAAGACAGGCAGGAGGCTCTCTGTTATACATAGGAAGTTTCAGAACAGCAAGAACTAGAGATCCTATCAAACAAAAGTCTACCCATGGGCATTTGAAGGTTTTCCCTAAAGGTCTCATCCCTGCAAGCTGCCTTGTGTAGTTTGACTCAAATAAAAAGCTCATGATGTGGGCCAGAGAAGTGGTGAAGACACTTTTTGCTTAGTCAGGATGACCAGTTTGGATCCCACTGGGTGGTTCACAACCTTGTATTCCAGCTCCAAGAGCGCCAACACCCTCCCCTGGTCTGTGGAGAACAGTACGTGTGTACTTTCACAGATGTATACAAACCTTTAGTACTATTCAGTAGCATCTTCTGTGGTAAGAAGTGTTATTTACGTGCATTGGCTAGGATGCAGCCACTGTTTACCTACTGAATATTTGAAATGTGGCTTGTCTTGAGAAGCTGAATTTTAAATGAGTTAATTGACCACATTAGTAGCAGTGACTGTCATTTTAGGGTAGAAGCCCCTGGCAAGGTCTAACATTTTTACATTTAGTGTATATGTGCATGTGTGTGCCTGTGGACATAGAGAACTTTAGCTAGAGTTCCAGGAGCTTGTGAGCTATGTAGGTGCTGGGAACTGAACTCAGATTGCAATATGTACTCTGTGGGAGAAAACAAGGGTATTAAGAGCTAATGCATATTCTACCTGTCTTCATAGAAGAAAATTATTGCTGATAGCCTGTTGGTTTTTGTTTTGACAGGGAACCAGTGTTGGTTTAATTAGGTAGATGGGTGACTTTAACGGGATCTGGTAAATGCTGTATAGAATCCTTTGTATCCAGTTGAATTAACCATCACTAGTACTGTACGACTGTCTATTGTCTAGGATTTAGCAAGGTTCATAGATAGCTAAAATAACCAGGATAATGGAGAAGGTAGAGCTTTTCCAAAGCATGTGAACACAGAATGCTGAGAAAGAATACACAGCCAGCCAAATGAGCAAAGGATTAATTTGCATGCTTTATTTACACACATATATAAAATTAATATTCAAAAGAAAAATGGGCAAACAAAACAGTTTTCTACATTTTTCATGGTTAGCCCTGGTAGTAATATACTAGACCGTCCTGGCCTACGTAAGTCCTCTTTTTAAAAAAAAGAAAAAGAAAATACTTACAGAAAACATAAATTTTTACAATTTATGGGGGGGGATAAAGATTTGGAAAGAGTAATGCATATGCCTCCAGATAGCAGAGCTCGAGTGTGTGGGCACAGAAATGGGAGCGTCAGGACTTGTGATGTAGATAGATAAGCAGTTACTTTTACTTTTTTGGTATTTTCTTAAGGTGCCCCTATAGTGCTGTCAGATAGTGAAGAAGAAGAAATGATCATTTTGGAACCAGACAAGAAGCCAAAGAAAATAAGGTAAGAGATTTCTGGTTTCTTTCAAATGTCCATAAAAACAAGACCTAGGTGTGTGACAGGACACCTGAGTGTTGCGGTGAATGCTGTGCATCAGGCAGTGGGCACACAGTGAGCTGTCATTACTTCATTCACAGAGCGCAGACCGCCAGTGCAAAGGAAAAGGCCCCGAGTAAAAGTCAAGTGAAAAGGAGGAAAAAGAAGAGAGCTGCTAATTAAAGCTAACCTGGTATTTTTGTAAATATATATATAACTAATAAAAGGCTATTTATTCAGTGCTGTTTAACAGCCCTGGGTAGTTTTTTATTTGAAAACCCATTATAAAAACTGAACTTTTTGATAAATTTTGTCTTTAACATTATGTTTTGAATAAACTTTCTGTACAACTTTTCTGTTGCACAAAATCTTATTTGTTAAAGTTGACAAATAAAATAGTTGAGTAAACTACCACAGCATACGTAGAACTGAATGGGTCTGGGGATCACTACATACTTATTTTATAACCAAGTCAGCAATTTGGTTTAGTTGCTTAGAATAGTCAATGTCAGAATTTGAAGATCCATTTCCCTGAAAGATTTCAGTTTTAGCATGCCTTTTCCACCCCCACTGAACAGTAACAAACCAAGTTAGCTTTTGTAAGTGACATTATCAGCCTTAGTTTTTATCTCAAATTAACTTTGACTTGCAAAGATTTCCAAATCAATTTATTCTTAATATCCTGACAGTTGGCAGCACCAAATGTTAACAAAACCAATTAAAATTAGCCAAATATCTAAGATAGACACATGTACAAAAGATATACAAATTAAAACCATTTAAAAAGCAATGGATACCATAATTTGTCTGTGGCTATACCATTTACATTCTGAAATGATTGTGAAATTAAAACCCAAGATAAAAACTGTCCATTGTGAACTCTGAGTGACTCCCATTCTAAACAAAGGTAGTCCTGCATTCTTACACATTTAGTGTCTCTGGTGGGTTGAGAAGTGAAACACCATGATACCTGTTGAGTAGGGAAGAAAACAAACAAATTTATAAACATTGATGTACCCCCAGACTGAAGAAATGCTATTTCCATTTGACTAGACTAATGATTGTAGAATCATTTGATACTCAGAACACGTGCACCTGTTCCCTTACCCACCCTAGCAGATGCCCAGGGGGAAATGCCAGGCACAGCAGCTCCCAACATACGATTACTGTCATGCTGAGGCAGCTGTGGCAGAACAAATAATCTGATTCTTACTTGGAAAGCTTGTACTTTTCCCTTATTGACTGTTGAGCATGCTGTGGTGCTCTGAGGTAGGTCTGGTAAAGATCCATGAGACAAGGCTTAAGACTTTCCAGGGTATATCCAGTCTTTTGTACCAGCGATTCAGGCTACAAAGAAAAGACAACCATTGAGTTTTTAGTAACAGCACAGGGCACTGACCACTGCACCTTAATCTTGCACTAATCTTTAACATGTTCAAGCTCACTCCATCTTTTGACCACTTCCGCTGCTAGCAGCAGGCGATTGAAGTAGAGCTTTCAAATTCAAGTTTACAGCTACGCTTTCTGCCCAAACCAAACTAGCAAGTGTAATACGTACCCAGCTTTGTCCTGTGACGGTATAGAGTGCTAAATGAAAGGCGGCTCCAGCAATAAGTGACGGCAAGTACTTTAGGTATGGGTCAGCATCTATCAGACTCAATTCTCCCAAAAACTGGAATGAAACAAATAGCTCTAAAATCACAAGTTCTATCCTTACATCCTGATCTGTTCTTCCCATCTTTGATGTTCGCTGGTTCTGTGTCAGCCCGGGGAGAATTTATCCAATGTTTTGCTCCATCTTCAGTTGACATTTCTGCCCCCTAATTAACTTAAAACATCTACCAGGATGTTGTCTTTAAACCACTAGTGTTTTTCTGACATGGTTACTTGTGGATTTCCACTGGGAAAATTCTCTCCTGGACCTCTCAGTCCCTTTCCACGAACACCAAATATTTAAGTACCTTACATATAAAAGATACACCATTTTCGTACAATCTAGTGCTATATACCTAGGATATTACTAAATAACTTATAATAATAAATAAACAGCACAGATAATAGTTGCATCGTGTGTTTATGGGCAGGCACCTTAAATGCCTGTTGGCTGATTTCATAAGCACAGAACCCAAAGAGAGGGCCAACTGTATTATGTTTCTTTTGCTAGCTATAGGTTTTTCTGTGTATTGAAACTGAAAATACTTAATCTCTTAAGCAATGTTATACAATGAAACCAGGGCTAATTATGACCTAAAAAAAAAAAAAACCTCATAAATGAACTTACCATTGCTAAGCTTTCAACTTTGCAGTTTGCAGGCTGCTGGTGCAGAAAGTATTGGGTAAGAAACTGATTTACTGTTGGAGCAGCTAAGTCAAAAGCAAGGACTTTCAATACGAGGTGCTCCATTCTCAGGACCTGCTTCTTGGAATAGGTGTCGTCTGTAATATACACAAACTCTGCTACTTCTGGGGGGTATATTTCTTCAAACTTTCTACAACAAAAGAAATTTTAAGTGAGTTTTTTTTTTTTCTTCAAAAGCAGGCTTTGTCCTCATCTAAAATGCTTGGGCTGTACAGACTCAAAACTCACTTCCATCAACCACATTCCCACTGACAGTTGACCATCTCTGGTTGAGATGATCGACAGCCAATCAGCCAGTGAGGGGCCTCAGGTATGTCTCCTATGTGGTCGAGGAAATGATTTGTAAGTTTTCCAAAACGGAAAACAAGGCCAGAGTAGCTGAAAATTTAGATAACCTATCATTTCAGGAAAATAACGTCTTACCTTTAAATATCGCTTTTATGCTCAATGAAGGGAAAGTAGTACTTTTCCTCCAGGAAGCACTTTATTGTTTAACTTCTAAGTTCTGATTTAGCCCATTCAAGGCCCATGAAACCCAGATCTAGAAAGTTTTATGTTCTAGGCTAGAAAACAAGTTTCACCCTCTACTCCCAGAAGCCCCCACCTACTAAAGCTGTCAGTGTTGAAATGTTAAGAGTACAAAATCTAAATTTATTCCCTTCATTACAAAACAGTGAGAAAGCACTGAGACTCAGGTTCAATTCTCAGCACCAGCAATGGTGGCTCATAAAACTGTCTTGGGATCCAACGCCCTCTTCTGGCCTCAGCAGGCACTGTACACATGTGCCACAAACCACCCACTAAAGTATAAGTGAGGAGGGGTAGTGAAAATGACTGTGAACTAAGTAACTACTTACGAAGCCAGCAGCATAGCAGCAGTGCCTACAAGCTGAAGCTTCCCTCTTAACACAGACATGGAAGAGAGGAACCGGTCAATGTAGTTCACGGCCAAATGCAGGGTCTCATTCTGTAATTTATATTCTTCTCCCACTTCAACTAGCCAGTCCACAAGGATGGCCCGCATACTGTTAGTGATGTCTGGCTGCTTCTTCATATAACCCACCTTAGGTTTACATTTAACCTGAAGGAAAACTCAGCAGTGTTAAATATAATCAGGTCACTTTACCATTCACAATGATGCTATTGACTTTGTGATACTATAAACTTTAGCATTAGAGAACTCACTGCTAAATGTCAACATTATCCTCTCAACTTCATTCAGTAGTTTTTAAACAGTCTTACCTCCATTTCCCTAAGGTATGTGTGGATGTCTTCATGGTAGTCGGGTACTTCATTAACACTCGGTGGCTTTTCGTCTTCCAAGACAATAGACATATCCATAGCATGTGGTGATTCTGCGTATGACATCGATACCAAAGTATTTATCTCTCTGGTAAAGCAACAGAGTATCCTATTCTGGTCTTAGTATTTCAGTCTCTATAGCTTTAGTATGAACTTAATTCAAAAAAAGAAAATAGACTACTAAGAGGACTGAGAATTACCTTAAGTATCACCTTCCACAAAAGATGAATAGATATGGACTTCCCACAGAGCAGGGAACCCTGATCGCTCTTTGGGCTGATGAGGGAGGGGGACTTGATTGGGGGAGGGGAAGGGAAATGGGAGGCGGCGGCGGGGAAGAGACAGAAATCTTAAATAAACTAAAAAAAAAAAAAGATGAATAGATGATACAATGGTTCTGTGAGGACAGAGCAGGTAACAAAATTTTGAAATAATTTGGGGGCTGGAGAGATGGCTCAGCGGTTAAGAGCATTGCCTGCTCTTCCAAAGGTCCTGAGTTCAATTCCTAGCAACCACATGGTGGCTGACAACCATCTGTAATGAGGTCTGGAAAGAATATTGTATGCATAATAAATAAATAAATATTTAAAAAAAAATTTTTTGAAATAATTTTTTGTCTTAAGAGAGAATTGCAGATCTCAGAGGCTGATGTATTCAAACCACAATCAGGGAGTGACTAGAATCAGGTAAATGTTGTATTAACAAATGTTAGTAAACTGTAAGGGATTTGGTATTTGTGAAAATAGGGTCTCAGCCAGGTGGTGTTAGCACACGCCTTTAATCTCAGCACTTGGAAGGCAGAGGCAGGCAGATCTCTGTGAGTTCAAGACCAGCCTGGTCTCCAAGAGCTAGTTCCAGGACAAGCTCCAAAGCCAGAGAAACCCTGTCTCAAAAAACAAAAAGAAAATAGGGAGGGTCTCATTCTGTAGCCCAGGCTGGCCTGAAATTCACTCTGTAGCCCGGGCTGGCCTAAAATTCACTCTGTAGCCCAGGCTGGCCTGAAATTCATTCTGTAGTCCAGGCTGGCCTGAAATTCACTCTGTAGCCCAGGCTGGCCTGAAATTCACTCTGTAGCCCAGGCTGGCCTGAAATTCACTCTGTAGCCCAGGCTGGCAATCTTGCCTCAATGCCCTGTGTGCTAGTTACAGGCATGAATCCATTCAGTTGTACTTTTTACCATTTAAATTATCTTTTGAAGTAAAGAATTTCTTTTTTTCCCCCCTAGAGAATGTTCAGTTAAGAAAAAACAGCCAGGTAGTGGTGGCGCACGCCTTTAATCCCAGTACGGGAGGCAGAGGCAGGCGGATCTCTGTGAGTTCAAGGCCAGCCTGGTCTACAAGAGCTAGTTCCAGGACAGGCTCCAAAGCTAGAGAAACCCTGTTTTGAAAAACCACCCCCGCAAAAAACACACACTAAAAAATTTATGTAAAAATTATTCCCATACCCTTCTTCCCCATCAGAAGAACTAACTAAACTAAAGGGAGCTGGGGAAGATAGGCGGCTTAGACAGTGCCTGATACACAGCATGAGGGAGTAGTTGCATTCCCAGCACCACATAGAAGCTAGATGTGTCTTATCTGGAACCCTAAGACTAAGGAAGGAGAGAGGGTCGAGAACAGTCAAGTCCTTGGAGCTTGGCGGTCTGCCAATCTAGCTAAACCAGTGACCTCCAGTGAGACTTTTTACATCAAGAAATGAGATAGAAAAATGGTGACAGATATCCCAAAGTCAAGTACACCTCCGGTCTCCACAGGTACCAGCACGACAAGCATACCCCCCCCTTCCCTGACACACAGCGTAAGGCGGAGAGTGCAACACTTTGACAGAGATATTACACCTCTGGTCTCCATACAGGGAGACCATAGCAACAGCAGGGCTGTCTGCAGCAGCTGTTCTGCCTTCCTTGTGCATCTGACGACTTACATCATATAAGCAGATTGATTTTAAAGGGATGGCAGATACCACAATGCTTCAAGTAACACTCTCAGGGGTAGCGTGTTAAGACATGAGTCATAAACACAACTGAAATTTATTCTCCCAGCCAAACACTGATGAGGTCAGATTAAAATAAGCATTTAAGATCTAATTAAGATTGATACAGTTTGCAGTGCCCTCCCTGCCTGTTAAGGATGGGTCCTTTTGTAGGTCAGTAGGCCTGAGGATTAGCCATGAGATCTGAGAAACCCTTATAGGCCCATTGCAGTAATCTTAGCTCACTGTGTTATGATCAAGTAAAACAGTCTTAGTTGGGCATGGGGGCGCATGTCTTTAACCCCAGCACTCAGTGAGGCAGTGGTGGGCGGTTCTCTGTGAGTTTGAGGCTAGCCTGGTCTACAGAGCAAGTTCTAGAACAACTAGGGCTGTTATACAGAGAAACCCCATCTAGAAAAACAAAAAGAGACATAGCCTTAACACTGAAATTATCACTAACCCAATCAAATAACTAATTTCTTAGTTTGATAAAGAACTTTAAGTACCGTATGATGTCACAGGCCTATAATCTAGAAATTTGGGAGACTAAGGCAGGCTGGTGTGAGCTCAAGACTTGCCAGAGCTACAGATTGAGATCCTGTCTCAAAAATAAAAGGCAAAAACCTTACCAAAACTATCATCCATTGGATAATCAAGCGGCACCAGCGGTTTTCTGGCTCCAGGTAAAGAGACAGCTGCATTAAAAGCCAGGGCATCTTCACACTGTGTTTCTTTATGCTCAGCTGGCCTCTTCTGGGTCTCTTCTGCTTCATCCACATGAATAGTAAAGGCAGGCTGTTTACTGTTTGCTTTCCATGAAGGACCAACAGCGACATGTTCATCGTTTACAGAAAGGTCCTTAAGAGGTGCAACCTAAAAAGGAATTTTTGAATAGAATTTTTGCCTTATTGCCCTGTGGGTCTAGGCTTTTATTCTTAAATACTCCATTAGGAAAAATAAACTTCTTGAGGCAAAGCCCAGATAAATAACAGTTTGAGTAAAGCAAGATAAAGAGTGGATAAATTTGTCAGTCGTTCCTACAAAGGCTGATTGAATTACAAACTAGTCAAGGCTCTAAGTTTAGGGGAAAGTACTGATTCACAACTTTAGCCCCAGGGTGGAGCGAAAATGCAGGTCTGGCTAAAATGGCGGAATTTACCAAGCAAAATATTGCTTTCTATCCTTCCCCGAAGTGGAGGTAATCTGTGAAGCAGATGGTGAGGGGGAAGGGATCTGGACCCTATCTATGGCAATGTCTTTCAAAGTGGAGGGAAAGGGACACAGCTGGGCGAAGTCGACACGCGGGGGCATCGCTCGGTATGACCCCGGGCATTTTTACAAAGAAGCCACCACAAGTGCTGAAGGGCAGCATACACGGGTCGGCAAAGCTGGCGGGGCTATTGGCACTGGAAACCCCGGGGCCGTGCAGACTGCAGCCCGACTCCCCCTAGAAGGCGCAGCGTGCTCTCTGCCCCTCTCGGCTGCTAAACCGAGGCCCGCTCCCGCCCGGCCCTCCCCGACCCTAGCCCCCCTTTACCCGCCGAGTCTTGAATCTCTGCTGAGGCGCGTTTCCCCGCGCGTTCCCGGCCTTCAGCGCTATCTGCGCCCGCGGCTGCTGGGCTGGCGCCACCTTCTCGGGGTTGACATTCTCCTGGTCTTCCTGCTGCAGCGAGAGCAGGGCCGAGCCCGCCTCGCGAGCCGACGATCTTGAGCTGCCCGGCATCGCGGCTCCGGTGGGGATCGGTCGGCCGCAGAGCGTGCACTGCGTCCGCCGCTCCCAGGCTCTGCGCGAGACCCTGGCGGCCGACGCGGGGAGCAGGCGCTGCGGGCGGGAGGAGCGCGGAGCCCAGTGGCCGCGAGCGAGCAGCGCGCCGGCTGCCGGCTGTTCGTGCAGTTCAAGCAGCGCGCGACTATTGAAATAGACCAATGAGGGCGCCCGAGGCCCGTGACGTCACCAGGAGCGCCGGGTGCCGCGAGCGAAGGCCCGACGGGAACCTAGCTGGGCGGGCGCCCGAGGACGCGCCTGCGCGAGGGAGGAAGGGCGGGGCGGGCGCCAGCCTCGGGCGGGTTCCCGCAACTCCTGGCGTCTGTAACCCCGCGGCTCGCAGGAAGCAGGGCGGGCCAGACGAGCCCTAGGGCCTCCAAGTGACAGCGTTGTCGCCCTCACTCAGAAGGCACCTACCAGAACACACACACACAAGCACACACTCTCCTCTCTGTCTCTCTCGCTGTTTATTTTTGCATCACCTCTCCAGGATATATTTTTTTGGTTTGTTGTTTAATTTTGAGACAGGGTTTAATAATGCAGCCTGGATTGTCCTGCAATTCACAGACGTCTGCCTGCCACGGCCTCAGGAGTTCTGTGCCTGGCATTATTCCAGGAAGCTTTTTTCCTCCCCTCTAATAAAGATGTGATCAATTTAAAATGCCAACTTGAGCTCTTGTTGATAACCATGAAACAAAATGGTGTATTAGAAGAAATTCAAACGTTTGTTAGTTTTGTTTACCCTTGGTTATGATATCCAACAAAGCACACCACGAAGTCCTGTGGACCCAAATAGATACTACATTTGGAAATAACGTGCACGGTGGTGTGTACCTTTAACCACAGAGCTCTGGATCTCTGAGTTCAAGGCCGGCTAGGCCTACATAACTAGTTCCAAACCAACTATATATTGAGACACAGTCTCAAAAAGTGTTCATATGAAAAACAGGGGCCTGGGTGTACCAAGAAAGCCTCCAGAAAATATAAGAAAAAAAAGTGACCTTATTAAGACCCAACATTTATGCCTTAAATGTTTACATTTAATATTTAAGAATCGCACACAAAATATAACAATGTAATTACCGTTTTCTAAAAAAGGCATAACTATCCTTTGAAAGCAAAAGACAGCTGTTTCCCATTATCTTTATAATATCTTTAGACTTTAACACAATATTCTCCTACAGATGTATAAAACTTCTATTGCTTGAAAGTCTCCGGAACATATAATAAAAAGTAGTTTCGCGGATACCGCCATCACTCTTCACTTGAACACTTTAAAGCTCATCTGGTTACATCCAGGAAGTCCACCCAGGATCCCTCCAGTCTGAGAGAGCTCTGCTTACTTCGCTGGCCAGTCTACAGCACTAAGTAAAGTATTTCACAGCCTGCAGGAGGATCATGTCACCATGAAAGAAAGAAATGGGGTGTGAATTCATTCCAAATCCTAGAAAAGCAAACTTATTTCCACCTCATGATAACAGAGGACTGGGGTACACTTATAAACTTGCCCAGCCTTATAAAATTCTAGCATGGCCCCTTACATCAGCTTCATTTAAGTGGTTGAGGAGTTTACAGAATGGTCAGGAAGACCAAACAAGTAATGTGATATATAAAGGGAAAATACAGTATAAAACATGACGTTTGTACACTTATGTGTATTTTATATAAATGGCATTTTATTTTCCAATTCTCAATTTAGAAATTAAAATACCATTTGTCAAAAAGTCGTTAATAGCTCTTATAATCATTCTACTTATGTTTGTTTTTTTTTTCCCCCAAGACAGGGTTTCTCTGCATAGCTCTAGCTGTTCTACAATTCACTTTGTAGACCTCGAACTTACAGAGATCCCCTGCCTCTGCTGTGATTAAAGGTGTTCGCCAGCCCCTACCCCACTTGTTTAGATTTTTGAGACAAGGTCTTCTGCTCTATCCCAGGTTGACTTGGGCCTTACTGTGTTACGTAGGCCGTCCTTGACCTCCCAGTTAATCCTCTCTCCTCAGCCTCAGAGTGCCAAGAATTCAGGCAGGAGCCATCACACCCAGCTCCACTTATGTTTTAGAAATAAAATTCTCTTCATTCCAGTAAGTAGGAGCCTCACTTTAATTATGATATCACAAATGCTCCATGTATGGAGAGTGGTCCCTCCTCACCACTTTCTGTTTAGCAGACTGCGCTGTAGGCCCTACCTTGTTCATCCTTCATGCGGCATCGAAGAAAGAAATCAGTGCATTCTGGTCGTAGCTGTCAAGAATCTCCAGTAGAACAGGCACTTTAGTTTTTACGTTCGTGCCTTTGAACTTAAATTTATCTATGAAAAGATCAGTAATCATACCTATAAAGAAAAACGTTATTTCCTGTCATTGATGAGTTATTTAACAATGCACTTAGTACTTTATAATCACTGACATGTCATTATTCAACATATGTAAATCTTGAAAAGGTTGGCCTTTATAAAAACAAGTATGTATATATGTGTTTTAAGCAACATTCAAGACACAAATATTTAATAACCTTTCTAACAACTGGTTCAGACAACCACTGCCAGCCATTCTGAATCACTGCTGGTACACACTTCATCGCAGTGATGTCTGTTCCACCAGGAAGCTTCAACTGAACGAAGACACTCCACCTCCATGCTTACTGGATTTATAGGTCAGGGGCAAATTATTTCACCTCTGAGTTTCCCAGATGTAAAGCAGGAACAAGCCAGGTAGTGGTAGCGCATGCCTTTAATCCCAGCACTCGAGAGGCTGAGACAGGTGGATCTCTGTGAGTTCGAGGCCAGCCTGGTCTACAGAACTAGTTTCAGGACAGGCTCCAAAGCTACAGAGAACTTTGTCTCAAAAAACCAATAAATAAATAAAATAAAACAGGGATAGTTCAAGTTGTCAGTCATTTATACAAGACCCCGGAGACAAGCAGATTTTAGGAATAGAAAAAGGAGAAAAAGAATATACCATGGGTGGTATTGGGACTCAGTACAATGGGACTGAGTGGCAACAAATTCTGATAGCAAAATGGCAATATTTTGGCAATTAAATTTATAAGTGATTATGTATTTTGCACTAAACGGAATAAAAAAGATTAGAAATTGACATCATGTCAGAGTCAATCACAGTAAGGCACATTTTGCTGATAAATGATTTACAAAAGCAAAACTCTGATTTTCAAAGCCTCTTTCTGGATTTTGGAAGCATGGGTAAGAGCTGGTAGATCTACAACACCTTCACTTCAGGATACTGTAAAAGAGATCCTGTGCGTGCCATACAGCGAGCATTAAAATATCCGTGTTGTTCCTGTAGGAGGAAGACTGCAGGCAAGCGGGACAAGTGACGGCGGCACAGGGAGAGACAGTCCTGAAGGCTTAGCCGCTCACTAGCTATGTGATGGCAAACTTTCCTCTCACGTCTGGATAAAGAATACTGAAAATCATCCACCTTGTAGAGCTGTTGCAACAGTTAAAAATCCCCTGGAAGCCGGGCGATGGTGGCGCATGCCTTTAATCCCAGCACTCGGGAGGCAGAGGCAGGCAGATCTCTGTGAGTTCGAGACCAGCCTGGTCTACAGAGCTAGTTCCAGGACAGGCTCCAAAGCCACAGAGAAACCTTGTCTCAAAAAACAAACAAACAAACAAACAAATCCCCTGGGAGGCGGTGCCGTGCTGCCTGCGTGGCACACAGTGGGTCTCCCAGGAGGACTGCAGACAAGCCCTTTGCTGAGGCTGCTCCTCCCTCCCTCCATCTCTGCCTCCACTTCCCTTCGTCTTTTCTCTTGCTGTCATAAAATCTATAACATACCCAGCTCCTCACCAAAGCAAAACAAGTTTTAAACTGTGGATTTAAGCATCACATAAATATCCCTATGGAGGTTTTACATGAATAGATTACAATGACTACATTTTTACAGCAGCAACAGAACCTGAAAAAGTCATCTGTGAGAAATGAAGTGTGGATGGTGAGGTCTTGTGGGTCGAAAGACTTCTTCACTGTGCTCGTAATAATTCCACTTTCTCATTTACTTGCATTTCTTTTTTTGTTTGTTTGTTTTTCAAGACAGGGTTTCTCTGCAGCTTTGGAGCCTGTCCTGGAACTAGCTCTGTAGACCAGGCTGGCCTCGAATTCAGAGATCCGCTTGCCTCTGTCTCCCAAGTACTGGGATTAAAGGTGTTTGCCACCACTGCCATATCACCCAGCTTACTTGCAAAGTAAAAAATGTTAAAATGTAAGGCTACCTTGGCAAAATACAGAAATACTTTGTACAGTAAGCTGGCTGACACAGGCTCAGGACAGCTGTGATCTCTGCCAGCTCCTTTCACAACTCTTGGGCTAACAAACTGCTAAGGAGAAAGAAGTACAGCAGCTTGTGCTAGAAAGGTCCACTCACCACTCACCATAGAGCCTTTCAAGGTGTGCAGGCTGCTTTTTGTATTCTTCTTGTAGGTGATCTGCCTCTTCTAGAATACAGCGGTATTCTGGAATCAGGAAGTTCGTATTACCTTCATGAACCTGCAATTCCTTATTTAAAAAAAAAAAGAGAGAGAAGCACCTTGGTCAAATTGTATATTAAAGTATTATAACTAGAAAAGCCAGTGCTAACAATCACGCTCACGGTCCCACGGGTGCACGCACATCCTTACCTTTAAGGCATCAATTAACTGCACTTTCTTAGCCAGAAGCAACTGATACTCCAGCTTTGGGTGGATAAGCTTTAGCGTGTGCTTGACTGACACTTCGTTTATCTCTACAAGAAGCGGGCCAGGCAGCAAAGTCACTTTCATGAGAAACATCGCTATTATAACAACTGTAAAAAACTGGATGAAGGAAGGGTTTTCCTTTTTTACCGTATGATATGTTGAGATTAATTTTCCTTTTTGTGGCTTCTTTAGAAAGCACATCTTTTAGGATGGATATTGTAGAAATGTTGTCAGATTTAAAAACTCCTTCTCCTTTCCTACAAAATCAATGTATTTTTACAAAGAAAAGTTATAGGAGCGAGTGGTCTTGTAAACACGTATTTTTGCCTAGAGTTTAATTTAAATTTCACTTGACTTAAGATGAGCTGTGTATAACATTAACGTGAAGCAGACTAAACATGTGTTCTATCCTTCACCATACCAAGGCAGCCTCTGAACTAAAACTAA